GACACGAGAGACAGGATGTCAGGTTGGCATTGTGACAGCGCTAACCTCAAGTCCGACTCCACGTCACGTCTCTCCTCTCCGCTGGCCGCAGGTTGGGCAGTGCTGAGCTGCTGCAGGCATCAAGTTGCTCTGTCGGTTACTGAGGGACAAACGGATGTTGAAGCTCGGAGTTAGTGTAGGGATAATGACCAGAGACTCTCCTGGGCACATGGGAGGGGCCCACTGGCGTCGGGAACACAGGCTACAAGGGACCTGATACCAGTGTCAGACTTGGGAATCCCTGGTGGAACACAAGCCAGATAACCAGAGGACACCGGTGTAGGGAAGTAGGTGTAGCACTGGTTACAAGGGGGTGTGTCTTTACACAAAGGGTTGTGGGAGTCTGGAACTTGGGCCTAGGCTCACGGAGCACCAGTTTACAGGGCTGTACAGAGCAGGCAGAGATTTTGCAGCCACAATGTGTCCACATCCAGGCCCACTCCCCCAGACTAGGAGAGGAGCAGGGGGCTGGTCGGGGGCTACTCAGAGACTGGTCGGGGGACTGGTCGGGGGGCTGGTCAGGAACTGGTCTGAGGCTGGTCGGGGGCTGGTCAGGGACTGGTCAGGGACTGGTCTGAGGCTGGTCTGGGACTGGTCTGGGACTGGTCTGGGACTGGTCGGGGGCTGGTCAGGGACTGGTCAGGGACTGGTCGTGGGACTGGTTGGGGGGCTGGTCAGCGACTGGTCAGGGACTGGTCTGGGACTGGTCGGGGGCTGGTTGGGGGCAGAAAAGAGGGAGGTGGGGTACAAGCTGGGCCTGGCATGCCGGGCGGCCTGGTGGGGCTGTGATCAGTATTGCTGCCTTACAGTGCTGGGGTGCTGTGTGAGTGGAGTTTGCATGTTCTCCCAGGGCTCTGGTTTCCTGTGTGCGTGTGTCTGCCTGGTGCTGGCCTTGATGTACCCCACCTTGATCCCCCTGCGTACAGGACAGACTACGGCTCCCCTGCAACCCTGAACTGGGTGAAGCAGTTGGAAACTGGGTGGATGGACAGGCGCTGATGTGACCCCCTCTCCCCTTCGAGACCCTTCTCCCAGCTGCAGACCTGCGTCTGCGTCAGCTGTGCTTAGTTTTGTGCCGAAGTTGCTCAATAGATTCTATAATGCACCGACAGCAGGCGCCTGGGGCAGAGGATGCCAGGATCACGGGTCCGAATCCTGGGAGGCGGGCACTACTGAGTGGGGCGTTTCTCTGCTTGGCCCAGTGGACACCCAGCTGTATAATTGGGTCTCCTGATCATGAATGAAGAGAGGAAGATGGGGTGTCCTGGCCCCCCCGTCCTGTGCACGAA